GGGAAAGGTAGTGAGGTACGTGGGAGCTGAGGTTGTAGGGGGGGGGGAGGCGTTCTGATGCAATGGGTGAAGAGAGGAAGGGAGGTCGGGCGCAGTATGCAGAGGGAGGCTTCGTGTCTGGTTATTAAGGAGTGTTCTTCATAAAACGCACGTACACACGCACGTAGGTATACGTACACGCACACGCATGCAGGTACACGCACACGCACACGCATACGCACATGCACACGCACACGCACACGCGCACACACACACACACACACACACACACACACACACACACACACACACACACACACACACACACACACACACACACTCACACTCACACTCACACTCACACTCACACTCAAACATACATACATACATAAATACGCACCATTATGTATCATTATGCTCACCAAGATACAAAATACTTTAAAATTCTCTCTTTAAGATGAACGCAAATTGCCCGAGGCGACCAGAATTCTCGAACCTTCTCGAACGAAGAAGAAATCCGACCGCAGCGAGTTTATGAAACTTCACTGTATGCTGTTTAATTATAATGCTGTAGGGTTTGGGTGATGCTTCGCTGAGATTTACCGCCTTTCACTAATGGAATAAACCTAACCTTGTGGTTAAATGCAATTCATTATTATTATCATTATTATTATTATTATTATTATTATTATTATTATTATTATTATTATCATCACTACTACTACTACCACTACTTCAAATATCATTATTATCATTATTATCTCCATTATCATTGCCATTATTATCATTATTATCATTGTTATTATTATTATTATTATTATTATTATTATTATTATTATTATTATTATTATCATCATTATCGTGGGTTCTGTGAAATTAACCGCGAAGAAGATGTCTGTGATATGACCCGATTGCTCACACACTAAAAAAAATCGATTTCGTGTATGATACCTAAATCACAAAAAATAGTATTGGAAAATAGAGAAACAATCGAGAGCCAGTAGTGAAACAGCGAAGCGAAATGAAACTCAGCTTCACCTGTCATAATTACGAAAGACCGAAAGTGCTGCGTCATCTTCGGCCATAACGGTCCGATTACGGGTTTTCGGGAGCACGCACCGACGCACAGGTCATTTGAGGTCAGAGGTTAAAGTGTTAAAGGGCCTTATCTCTGCGGCAGATCAGCTGGCCCCTGGGGATTAATATATAGGCCTATTGGCGCCTTAATGGAACCTGCCGTTTTCTATGCCGGTCCTCGCCACTCACCGCGAAGGGAAGACGAAAGAAAACCGTGTTAAGGAGGAGAATGGGGGTTGGTACTCCAATTTTCTCGAGTGTGAGGTGTCGCTTGTACCCGTTGTTCAAGGTCTAGTTCGCTTTCACGGGCTGGACGGCGCCCTACTAAGCGGGGAAGTAAAAATAAGATTTAAAAAAAAATGACGTTCGTACTAAACGTGGTTGAATCATCATCCTCTGACTCAGATCATCCGTAGTGGATTCAGATCGTCAATAAATTCACAACGAAGCCTTTATTCCTACAGATAAAGTAAACAAAGCGAGAGAACAAACAATAACAACAACAAAAAACAAAACAAAACACAGAAAACTAGCGAAAAAAGTAATAAGAAAAAACATAAAAAACATCAGAAATCATATCAAATATGGCGTTCCGCATCCACGCTCTTAGTCGCTTCGTCAATTAATCCTCGTTTGATCGAGTTCGCAAAGACGGCTGTCATTAGAAACTCCAGATCAACCCGCTTAGCATGGATTCAACGGCCAGCTGTTGTTGCAAGACACTGCAAGACAAAAGGAGAAAGTTCGTCTCTGGGAACCGCATTCGAGCCGGAGAACAAACACATGGAAATTTACCACAAAAAGGCCATTTTGTTGAAAGCATAGATATGAGCCATAAATTCTGAAATGCGTTTTTTTTTTTTTTTTTTTTTTTTTTTTATGTTGGATGCATCTGTGGTGTACTGAGGCCAAGGTTAACAGGGGGGGGGGGTGAGAGTGAAAATAGGACAAGATAGGGAGAAGGAGAAGTAAAGGAAAGGGATGATGATGAGGAGAAGGAGGAAGAGGAAAGGAAAATGAGGAGTGAAGGGAGAGAGAAAAGAACTGGGCGAGCGAGCGAGCGAGAGAGAGAGAGAGAGAGAGAGAGAGAGAGAGAGAGAGAGAGAGAGAGAGAGAGAGAGAGAGAGAGAGAGAGAGAGAGAGAGAACAAGATAGAGAAAGAAAGAGAACAAGATAGAGAAAGAAAGAAAAGCGAGAAAGAGAAAGATAACGCAAACGAGAACATGAAAGCAAGAAAAAAGAGTAAAAAAAAGAAAAGAGAAAGAGAAAGAGAGAATGATACAGAGAGAGATAGAGAGAGAGAGAGAAGAGAGAGAGAGAGAGAGCGAGAGAGAGAGAGAGACGAGAGAGAGAGAGAGACGAGAGAGAGAGAGAGTGAGAGAGTGAGAGAGAGAGTGAGAGAGAGAGTGAGAGAGTGAGAGAGTGAGAGAGTGAGAGAGTGAGAGAGTGAGAGAGAGAGTGAGAGAGAGAGTGAGAGAGTGAGAGAGTGAGAGAGTGAGAGAGTGAGAGAGAGAGTGAGAGAGAGAGTGAGAGAGAGAGTGAGAGAGAGAGTGAGAGAGTGAGAGAGTGAGAGAGTGAGAGAGTGAGAGAGAGAGAGAGACGAGAGAGAGAGAGAGAGCGAGAGAGAGAGAGAGAGGAGAGAGAGAGAGAGACGAGAGAGAGAGAGAGATAGAGAGAGATAGGGAGGGAGAGGGAAAGAGTAAGAAAGAGAGAGAGAGAAAGAAAGAGAAAGAGAGGAAGAAAGAGAAAGAAAGGGAAAGAGAGAAAGAACGAGAAAGAGAGAATGAAAGAGAAAGAGAGTGAGCGAGTGAGTGAGTGAGTGAGTGAGTGAGCGAGTGAGTGAGTGAGTAAGTGAGTGAGTAAGAGAGAGTGAGAGAGTGAGAGAGGGAGGGAGAGAGAGAGAGAGAGAGAGAGAGAGAGAGAGAGAGAGAGAGAGAGAGGGAGAGAGAGAGAGAGAGAGAGAGAGAGAGAGAGAGAGAGAGAGAGAGAGAGAGAGAGAGAGAGAGAGACTTAGAGGGAAAGAGGGACACACACAGACACACATACAAACATATATATATATATATATATATATATATATATATATATATATATATATATATATATATATATATATATATATAAAACCTCATGGCCACGGCAGTCCTGAGACATTTAAGCCCAAGAGGATCACACGAAGCTCACGTGAGACACAAGTTCAATTTAAGGACAAAGTCACTCAACGAGAGGAGGAAAACGCGGCTGAGAAAAGAGTCATTTGCATGGTAATGAAACCCGCCGTGACGAAGGGGCAGCCGAACCCCAGCAGGGAAATCTGAGTTTAACAAAGAGGTTAAGAGTCCACTTTAGGGCGGCGGGCGATACGATCCTCCTGGAGATTCCGATGATAGTCGTGATAGTCTACGCTGAGGGCCGTGGATTAGGAAGCATCGTTATAGAATTCGATGCTTAGGTCTTCTTCATTATTATGCGTTAATGAGGCGATATATTTGTGAGTCTAACGTTTGTAAGAGAGAAAGATGACTTTGGGAGCTTAACGTTTGTCAGAGAGAGAGAAAAAAAAGATGACTTAGTGAGTTTAACGTTTGTAAGAAAGATGACATTGTATGAGAAAAAGATAACTTGAGCGAGCTTAACGTTTGTAAGAGAAAGATGAATTAGTGGGTTTAACATTTATAAACACAAGGGGAGGGGGGGGGGGCAAGGGCAAGGAAGATTTTGGTAAACAGTTTCCGGTGCCAAGATGACCGGCGGGCATCGAGGAGGAACACCCTGTTAACGTAACGTAAACCCCACACGGAAAGGCTTGCGATAGACCAGCCAGAGTTACGCTGCCCTTCTTTGGGAACAATAAAAACTGGTCAGGAAAGGGGGTTCCCTCTCGGCCCTGGACAAGGCTGCCCTGTTTCCACAACCCCCCCTTCCCCTCCCTCTCCCCCTGCCCCCCACTCTCCTTACATACACCCCTCGTGTCTCTTTATATCCACGCCTTCTCTCTATCTGTCGGTCGTTCTCTCTCTCTCTCTCTCTCTCTCTCTCTCTCTCTCTCTCTCTCTCTCTCTCTCTCTCTCTCTCTCTCTCTCTCTCTTTCTTTCTTTCTCTCTCACTCTCTCTCTCTCTCCTCTATCGCATTATCTATCTGTTTATCTATCTATCTATCTCTCCCCCTATTTATCTATCGTAAAATCACACACACACACACACACACACACACACACACACACACACACACACACACACACACACACACACACACACACACACACACACACACACACACACGTCCACCATGAATGCGAGGTATAGAGAGTCCTACCCTGTGACGTCACCACAACGCCACCGAGGATAAAGGATTCGGCGAAAGGGTTAAGGGGATCTTTGTGGGGGGGAGGGGGGGAGGCAGGAGGGTGCCAGGGGAAGGAGAGAGGGGGGACAGGGGGCAGGGGAAGATGGGGGAGGAGGGGGGGGAGTTGATCGAGGCTCTGAACCATCCACCGAGATACGCACCATCAATCTTCGTAATTTTCACCCACTTCCCGATATTTTCCTTCGTTCGGTTCATAAATTTGGTATGCTGGGGATTCGATAAGTTAAATCGCATCAAAACAACTTTCCAATTTATAAAGAAAAAAAAACACACACCAAGAAAATGGTAGAGAGAGAGAGAGAGAGAGAGAGAGAGAGAGAGAGAGAGAGAGAGAGAGAGAGAGAGAGAGAGAGAGAGAGAGAGAGAGAAAAGGAGAGAGAGAGAGAGAGAGAGAGAGAGAGAGAGAGAGAGAGAGAGAGAGAGAGAGAGAGAGAGAGAAAGAAAGGAAGGAAGAAAGAAAGAAAGAAAGAAAGAAAGAAAGAAAGAGAGAGAGAGAGAGAGAGAGAGAGAGAGAGCAGAGGTCGGAAATGAGGAAGCGAGTGGCTTGCGAGTGAGGAAGGCAGAATGAGCGCGAGACATGCGGGTGAGAGACGAGAGCTTTTGTGCTACGAGTGAACGACGGCGGGTTAGAATGCGTGTCGATGGCCAGGGAGATGAGGATGTTTAAGAACTTTGGTTGCGCTGATGAGAGCAGGTGATGTGGATTTATATAAA